GGGAGGGGGTCCCTCCATCCTTTTGGACTTGATTCTAGCACCTGAAGAGTTGTGTAAGTGGAGACTTCTTACCTGCTGTTTTGGAAGGCTTTGTTCTTGGTTCATAGCAAACTTTATGTAGCACTAATAAAACCACAGTGTTCATGCTAGCCTGCCACAAACACTCTTTGCAGCAAGCAGTAAGTCCTGCCTCATGCTGAAATGGAAAGGCTGTGATAAAGTTGTTTTATAATACTGCCGAGTTTTCCAGGGAAATCGTCGTGTTCTGGTCTCTCTTAGTACAGCAGAGCAACGCTGAGAAAATAACTGCTGTCTGGGCTGAAGGAGTAGCAGCACTGTGTAGAAGAACTCATTAAGATATTCTTTGGCACAAGGAATCTGTCTCCTCAGTAAACATAGAGCAGGCGATTGCATGGAATCAGTGCTAGCACCATTGTCCTATGTTGGTACAGGTTGCTTTTGGGGGAAGATATCTTGTCAAATGATTTGGATGTGACTGGGGAGCCTGCTGAGTCACAGGTGTGGCACTCCACAAAGCACTAGGGAAGCAGAGGGGCTCCTGATCAGGGATTTACTAGTCAAGTTACTCCTATGCTCTGATCTTGAACAGTTCCTTAAAACTCAGACTAATATTAAGGAAATCATGGTGATGGAGTGTAACAAGATAAGCTTGTATTGAAGGGGAGTAGAGAAAGGGCAGCTTGGAATCTCTTCCATTGCTTCTGCTTGAGCTGAAGGTAGTTGTTCAGTGAGCACAAGGTTTTGCTAGAGGAGACTCCATACCTTTCTGTCTTCTCTCTTCAGGATTCAGTACAGGTGTGTATTGCAGAACCTCATTTCGTTGTATGGCACGTTGTCAACATCACTTCAACTGGTATCTGAGACCCAGCAGATGCCTTATATCCAGGGGTTTACCTTCCCTTCTGACATCAGTAACTTCCTTGGAGTTAATGTTTCTTCTGAGGTGAAAAAGCAAAAGGCTAGAATGCTTAAAACAAAAAAACCTACCAGCTGGATGAAGAAGCTCTTCCCAACAATGCCAGAGGCAGTGTCAGAGGTGGGGAAAAAGAGAAATTTTGCGACCTGCATGAGTGCTGTGAAAATCTGTAGCATCCCATGCCCTGCAGACATCGGAGAGCCAGTTCTGGTGACCAGAGCCAGCAGAGGTAAAGCTGTGCCACAAAGCGTCTGGTTTCTGACATCTCAGAGACTGACCGCAACTTTTGTCCAACAGAGCCAAGTACTACTTCTACCCACAGTGTGCTGTTCTAGTACAAACTACCCTCTCCTCTCCTTGGAAGAGGAGGAGAATGCTGCATGTACCGTTGCCTTTATAAAGCTGTGGATAATGTTAGTATTGTGACATTTTTTTGGTTTGTGTTTTAAACATGATAGAGCCTGGAGAGAAGCAGGTAATGAACGTGGTATACAGGTTCTGTAAATAGTCATTTATATTTTTCTGCGTCTGTATAGATGGGGCCTAGGGATAGGGAGGGAAGCTAAGAGCACTGTGCACAGTCCACACAAGAGTGGGTAAGGCCGTAAGCCCAGGATGCAAGTATCGTGTGCTTGCTGGTTCTGGGCTGTGCCCAAGTCTCCCCCTGCAGTCGGGGCTATGGCCAGTGAGTGCAGGCATCCAGGTGTTCACGTGAAGCTTTTGCCCATTAAGTTCTCCTTTGCAGCCATCTGTAAATCTCTGCATCCTCTTCATCCCTTGCCAGCTGCCTTGCAAGATGAGTGTAGCCCCCTTGAGATTGCCTGGAAATGTTGACTACAGGTGTGAGCCTGCTGAGACAGGAGGAGACCTGGGAGCTCAGCAAGGCAAAGCACTGCAGCGTAGCTCTGTGCAGAGTTAAAACTGTCTTTCCTTCATAATGGGAACTCTCCTCTCTTTGTAGGGAAGCACCTGGGGTTTGATGTGAAGAGCTTACTTAAACCATCTAGACCTCTAACACAAGAGGTTTGTATGGCACCATTTTACAGGTTTTTTTTATTAACTTTAAAAACCCTAACACTCAAAACATGATATCCCTGGCTGAATATGTCCCCTTTCTCTGCCTTATTTTTGCTTGTCTAACAACCCAGATTGGCATGGAAGCTTTGCACTGAAAATCACTACGAATTTCTGCTTACGAATTTGAGTGTTTGTTGGTATGTCAAGTGAAATGACCAGAGAGCAAGTCAGTAGTAGATAGGAATACAAATTCTAATTATTCGCCTCTTCTTTTTGTATTCAAGAGTGCTCTTCCACTTCAGAAACAGGGAATGTTCTCACAAAGACCTCAGTGCTCTGCTCCTCTCCAGCAGAGAGGATCCAGGTGTGTCATGTTTTTAAAGGACTTTGTGTTATTCTTTCAGGGTATAAGCATTGCATCAACACCTTTTAAAGCAAAGTCGGCATCACCTTCCTCTCGTATAGCAAAACTGCAGCATACTGGATCTCTTGTACAGATGGTCCAAACAGCTACATCATTTGGGGAGCTGTCAGAGGCACTCAGAAAAGCGATTCTGTGGTGCAAAGGTAACAAATTCAAATCAGAAGCTTATTTTCTGCGTAACAAGTTGTTGAAAAGCAACCGGTTGCACCACGTGGAGGCTCAAGGATGCAGGTAATTTTGTGTGGGTGTGGGGATTCTGGATCTGACAGTTTACATATTAATATTATGTATCTTGTTAGTGTAGAGAAACGCAGTGGTCTAATGCATTATTTTTAAATTCAAACGGGGTCACTAGTTCAGGTCACTAGACACTAACATGAACATTCTGTTTAGTTTCAGTCAGCTGTGAAAGGATTTAAAAGGCTAACAAATGCACAGATACTTAAGAGGGAGGATAAAAATGCAACTTAAATCATGTGCATGTTTAATGGTAATGACTATGTGATACAAGGGGTGTTACTTTTCTTAAGAATGCCCTGGCTGCTGTTGCACAAGGTGCTGTCATATCTCCTTTGTATGACAAGGAAAATGGTAGAGAAGGCTAATAACCAAATCTCTCCAAACCCCAAATTAAATATCACTTTAGCAGCTGATCATTACGTTTTTTGCACCTTTCTCCCCTTAAGCTTGAAGAAGAAACTGTGCTGTGTCAAAACATCTGTCCGTAAATACCTCCTATACGGGTCACAAAATAGATGCTGGCCAAAGCAGTACCTCAGGGCACGGTTCTGTCGAAGGAGGATCAAACCATCTACACGCTTGAAGAGAACTCTGAGGACTGTTCAGCAAAAACCTTCTGAGCTTTTTGGGGTCTGTGAGGACAGTGCTTCATCCATCCTCCCACCTTACCAGGATGGGCCTCCGAGTCAGGAAGGATGTTCCAATGCTGATACAGCCTCTGTCAAACTAAGCACAGGGGGGACCCCTAATTGTCTGCTGCTGGAAGGAAGCCCTGGCCCTACGTGGAAAGAAGCTACTGAGAACATGGATATTGATTCTATTTTTGCAGTAATGGGTGTCTGACCCTGGACATGCAAGGAGGAAAGGGTTCAAGTAATTCCAATTATTTTTTCTTAAGTAAAACCCTAAAAACCCTAATAGTGTCTTGGTTACTCACACTGTGATGGGTTTGCCCTTGGCTGGGGTCCAACCCACACACCCATTCACTCAATCACCCAACCCCCCCCCACCTAAGGATAGGGGAGAAAATTAAAGGGGTAAAGGGAAAAAAGAAGGACTCGGGCTGAGATAAGAACAATTTAATAACTAATCACCCAACCCCCCCCCACCTAAGGATAGGGGAGAAAATTAAAGGGGTAA